TTATAATCCACCCCCTCGTTACAATGCTGGCGAAAATGAATCGAACCTCAGCCTTTTCCAAGGGCAACTCGGAAGCGCAAGTGCATCGACCACTAAGCAATTGAAAAATGAAGAGTGGCGCAGTATCATGCTATATGTGTTGACCAACCTTATCGAGGTGCAGCCGTTCATTGGGTAAGTTCTGAACGAACTTGTTTTATTTCGCCGTATGTCCTTATTTCTTCGTCCAACCCCCTTGCTTCTCGTTGGTACAGGGAATTTCTTCGTCAATCCTAGCATGGATCAAGGCAACCTACCCCGCAAGAAAATGATACCCTTCTTTCACAGGGTGCGGGACCAGAGAGCCCCGATTTTATTTGTTAGTTCAAACAGAAAGCCCAAACTGATGCGCCTATAAGTGACGAGCTGAGACAGGTTGCAAACGGCTGTGCCATTAGGGTCAAGTCATTTACCGGTTATGACGTGAATGGATATCATTTTCACATAGCAAGCTACGAGCAGAGTCGACCTAATTGAAAAACCACAAACAACGAAGTTGTTACGCCCGGCACTGATGGACTCGACTATTATGGAAGAATTGAAGAAATCTACGAACTATCATTCTATGGTTCCAAACCTCTTACTTCTGTCATATTCAAATGCCACTGGTTTCATCCTGGAGTAACGAGACGGATCCCTAAGCTTGGGCTAGTCAAGATTCAACAGGATTCCGTCTATCTAGGAAAAGATGTCTACATTGTGGCTCAACAGGCCGTCTAGGTTTATTATACGTCATACGCGTGCAAAGACGCCGAGCATCTTAAGGGTTGGTCTATTGTGAACAAGGTATCGCCACATGGTAAACTACCTATCCCAAACGATGAATATTACAACTTCAATCCACACACATATGATAGAGAGTTCTATCAAGAAGAGGGGCTACAAGGGAGGTTTGACATAGACTTAACTGAAGAGACAGGAATGGAAGTAGACAATGAAAGGGATGATGACGAGGACACTGGAGACGAGGTGCGAAATCTGAAGGACATACAAATGCTTGAGCGATTACGTTTAGGCAATGACAATGAAGACAACATTCCTCCTTCGGATAGTGTTGATGAGTTGGACAATGTTGATAGTGATGACGAGACCTATGATCCAGCTAATCTCAATCATGAAGATTATTTCTAATACATGTAATACTATGTTTTTTGTAATTATGTTTTGTTCATTTTTGCATATATTTCTAATACATGTATTACTATGTTTTTTGTAATTATGTTTTGTTTATTTTTGCACATATTTCTAATTATGTCTTGTTTTTCTTTTTTATTGCAGGTGATTGAACAAAGATGGCGGGCGACCATCATAGGTCCGTGAACTCGATTTACCAAAGACCACGCCGGCTGCAGGAGGAGGTGGAGGGGGCGGCGGAGGGATCGGACAGGAGGAGGAGGAGGAGGATCGCCAGCCGCAGGAGGGGGCCGTCTCCTCCCACACCGCGTGAGAAGGAGCTGGAGGAGGAGGTGGCGCCCGTGGACGAGTCGGACGAGGAGCTGGTTCGGCAGACGGACGAGGAGGAGGGGCCACACGAGGACGACGAGTCAGAGGCGGCAGGCATGGGTTCCGCTTCCTCGACTCCTCTTCGAGTGTCTACTTGCGAGGTCCCGCGAGCCTCCCACAGGTTCCGCTTCCTCACCAACGCCCAGTGATTCGCCCAGAAGGGTAAAAGTAAGTAACTTTATATGTTATCACCACTACTTCATATGATATGATGAAAAAAAACTAATAATTTTTCTTAATCACTTATGCAGGAACTGAGTGGTTGTGTCGGGTGGTAGCGTACGGCTAGTCAACGGCATCCTGGGTCTTCTGTGTAGGCAACACTTCCCTGGCATTGTCACGTATGCATCGAAGACGGAGCCGGCCTACTCGTTTGACCACTACGACGTCGCCATCGATGCGGAGTACCCCAACAAGGCGGCGCGGGTGAAGGCAGAGTTTTGGGTAAGTCTCCCTCGCACAACATTGCTCAATACGTCACATTCATTGGACTTTTCTTGAAATAATGAATGGATACATCGCTTTTGTATGCAGACTTATTACAGATGTGAGGAGGGATTTGAGGCCAGGGCGGAGCAGGTGACTACCAAAGCCTAAAAAACTCATCACCGACATGCATCACGAGGTGCGCATCCAGGCCATCGTAAACTACTATGGGTCGAAGCTTGGAGAGAGGAAAACCAAGAAAGACGCAAGAGAGATGCAGCGGACCCGGGAGCAATACCTTGAGGTAAATGAAGAACATCAATATTGATTCGTTTTGAGATTAAGTTGGTTTAATTTGATCTTCTTATATGTCCAATACTTGATGACGTGTAGATGATTCCCTGGTGGTGCCAAGCGTATCCCGAGTGCTGGGCGATTATGGTGGAGAGGTGGTTCACGGAGGAGTACCTCAAGATGCATAGGGATGCCTGGGACCGTCGTTTGCAGATGCAAGGTCCAGCACACCATCAAGGCAGCCGCAGCCTCGCCGGATACAAACAAGCATGGGTACGCGAATTCATTTATCTATTGTGACGCTCAGTTCTGCCTGATTTCTAATCATTGTGATGTCTTTCTCGCAGTCGGCGTCACATAGTGGCCAGGCTTGCTTGGACTTCCAGGCATGGTGTATGGCCCACAAGGGCAAGGCGATGTTCGACGGCTCCTTCCACCTAGAGGACCCGTCCGAGGCATACACGAACCCGAGCGTCCACTCCCACATCAGTGAGTACACTGAGGTGGCGAGGTCGCTCCATGGGTCAGACCATGATCCGAGCACCCAGAACTTCGATGGAGAGGCCGTCATGAGGGCGGGGCAAGGCAAGAAGCATGGGCGGTTCTGGCTTGGCGACGGCGTCATCGACACGGCCTCTACTCCCTCTCTCTCCCAGATCTGAGCACGGAGCACGAGCGAGAGCCCGGCCATTCGCACACGGCCGACGCTGCACAGCACCGGGTCGACGCACTCGAGGTTATTCCTGTTTTACTCGTCATACATTGATCTTTACACACCTTAATTAGCTTTGCATTACTAAAACATTAGAGTAAATATATTGCAGGCCCAGCTGAAACAAGAAATGAGGTAACGTTAGGAGCTGGAGGCCGGGCAGCAGAGGATGGTGGCCCAGCTGGAGGCCGAGCGGGCCGAGCGGCAGGCCTAGGCGCAGAGGCTGACGGACATTACGGAGTTCCTACAAGGGCTTGGGCAACGTGTGGGCTTCTCTCTGCCAGCTGGGCTGTTGGTTCCACCTCCGCCTCCGCATCCTGCAGCTGCAGCTACTCCTGTGAGTATGAAAGTTTTTTTACTTTTGCTTGTGCTTTGCTTGTATGGCCTCTACCTTCCTAGATTAGGTAGCCAAATAATCTTGTCTCACATGCAATCTTTTCTCCTTTGTGTAGTCTCCATCTGACGGTGGTTCGAATAATCCACCTCATGCACCTCCGAATGATGGAGCTGAGCCTTCACCACAGTCGCAAGGCCGAGATGAGTGCAAGTTGTATTTTTTCATTTGTTGTTCACTTGGTGATGAACTTGTGATATACTTGTGATGCACTTGTGGACTTTGATGGACTTGTGATGGACTTGTTGATTTATTTGGATGGATTTGAGCACTTATTATTATATATGTGATATATATATTGTGATGGATGTGATATGTGCGGATGGATGTGTGGATGGATGAGATATATATGTGATAGATGAGATATATATGTGATATATATATTTGTATGAATTTATTTATCACGATGGAATGTAAAAAAAATTAAAAATTACCGTTTTGGGTCACTTTGCCGAGTGTTGCACTCGGCAAAGAACCCCGTTGTCGAGTGCCATGGTCACAGCACTCGGCAAAGCTGGAAAAATGGGCGCTCGGAAAACTATTTTTCCAGCTTTGACGAGTGCCATGACCATGGTACTCAGCAAAGAATTTTTTTTTAAAAAAAATCAAACTTTGCCGAGTGCCGGCCAGAGGGCACTCGGTAAAGAATTTGTTTTTAAAAAAAATTCAAACTTTGTCGAGCGCCGGCCAGGGGGCACTCGGCAAAGAATTTTTAGAAAAAAAATTAAAACATCTTTGCCGAAGGCCGGATAGAGAACACTCGGCAAAGAATTTTTTTTTTTAAAAAAAAATCTTTGTCGAGTGCCTGCAGGGTTGACACTCGCCAAAGCAACCGTCAACGGGGCCGGCGCCGTGACGGACGCTTTTCTTTGCCGAGTGCCCCGGAGCTCTCGGCAAATAGAGTTTTACCGATCAATTTTTACCGTGTGTTCTTTGTCGAGTGCCGCACTCGGCAAAGGCTTTGCCGAGTATAATTTGGCCTTTACCGAGTCGCTCTGTACTCTTCGGTGCTTGCAAAGCGGAGAAGACAAGGCGCCATGGATCAGCCCCCGTTGTTCCTCCGCGCTAGCTCACCAATGCGCCTCTCGCCGCGGGAGCTGCACTCCTACATGTACCACGGCTGCGGAGAGGCGAGACGGCAACGGATCGTCTCGATACACAAAAGTACGTGGTGGAAGAGCACGCGGCGAAGGCTGTGGAAAGACTCGATGCGGTGCGCCGTTTTGGTGGCCCGATCAAAATCCTACGACGTGACGTGAGAGACGAGGCAACGTGGCCCAATGAAAAGATGCTGCCAAGAAAGAAGATTGGAAAAGGAAAGATGCGTCCGTACAAAGCTAGTTTTCCGAAGGGTCACATGTAGGGCCCAGATGGAAGTCATCAACACATCTGACGGCTCACAAAGACCTCAAGCTAACCCACGCCGGTCACCCTGTAATCGGGGCGCAGGCGGTCGCGTCGAACGCAAGCAGGCGACGGCACGGCGCCCCTATATATAGCCACAGCCACGGCGATCACCTCCCCACCCATAGACCTCCTTGTCGCAGGCGATCCCTCCAATCCGTCGCCCACCTATAACGTCTCCGACCCCGTCGACTCACCTCCGAACCCCGGACCACGGATTCGACCCCAATGGTGCGCTCCTTTCTTGAACCCTTTGTCCCCGTCGAGGGTTTCGGCGTATTTGGTGTGCGAGACCGACGTCGCTGTCGAATCTTGCTTGATCCGTTCCGATCCGCCGTCCCACGCCGTCCTAGTTCCTAGTGCTATGGTTCTTTTTTTTTTCTCTCGTGTTGATTTGTTGATTTTCGTGTACGGACGCAGGCTCTGCCGAATACCCAGCCCGTGGACTACCCCAGCTTCAAGCTTGTCCTCGTTGGCGACGGTGGCACTGGTGAGGCTATTGATCTTGTTGTTAGCAGTTTCTCGGTAGCGCTTTAACGTTGCCGAACTTTTGACAAACTGTGCCTCTTGCCATCTCGCAGGGAAGACGACGTACGTGAAGAGGCACATCACCGGGGAGTTCGAGAAGCGATACGAACGTGAGCAGCAAACATTTAATTTTTTTCTCGTGTGTGTGTATATATATATATATAAAATAAGTTATTTTGTAGCCAGTTACGGGATAGTAGTTATATATATACACACATGGGTTCTTGGGGAAGGGCATAGACCTCTTGCTGTTTAAGATTCTCGCCTAACTGTCTGATTGGGCTGTTCGTTCTCGATCTGCTTGACGATTTGCAGCAACCATCGGGGTGGAGGTGCGCCCTCTGGACTTCACCACGAGCCATGGCAAGATAAGGTTCTACTGCTGGGACACGGCCGGCCAAGAGAAGTTTGGTGGCCTCCGTGATGGATACTAGTAAGAACCTTGCAACCCAACTAGTTCTTCACTTCATTCAGATGTTGCAACTTAGACATTTAGCAGTTGCCATCCTGATTTTTCTCGCTAGTAAGTTCAGAGGAAATGTTTGGACAAGTATTCTGATGGGCCCTAGTATTTACAACTATTAGTCTAATGCTAACTACATTATACAATCTTTTGCTTCACATTGTCTGGTCTTGTCAAGAACAAAAATCAATGATTATTTGATAGCATCGGTCGAGTACTCACAATCTAGATTATCTTGAGTAGCAAGAAATCAATGCAATAAATGTCATCAAGTGGTTTTCTTGAGATTTTTTTGATGTTAGCTTCTGGGTTACAACGAAGACAAAATGATGTGGTGATCCGATCCTCACAGATTAATGTTTTCTCATGCAAGCTAAGTTGCTAACTGATGTAAGCTAATAAACAAAAGACATTTGAAAAAAAATTTAAAAAAATAAGCAAGCTAATAATTCCCGGAGGATACAGATTAACCCGTAGAGCAGCCTTGACAGTTGGAGTAGGTCCAATGTGGTAACCATAGAGAGACAGTTATACTAGAACTGGTAGAGATGCCTGAAAGAATTGAGACTAGATGATTTACTAGGCTTGTGACTCTGAAAACTGTGAGATGCATTATCAAGGGTTAATATTTGCTCATATGTTCCAATCATGCAGCATCAATGGTCAATGTGCGATCATCATGTTCGATGTCACCTCAAGGATCACCTACAAGAATGTTCCCACCTGGCACAGGGACATCAGCAGGTAAAAATTTTGCCTTTTGAATTGCTCACACGCCTCTTGTTTTGGTGTGATCTGGTACATCTTTTACTGTACATATTAGGGTGTGTGAGAACATCCCGGTTGTCCTGTGCGGCAACAAGGTGGATGTGAAGAACCGGCAGGTGAAGGCCAAGGCAGTGACTTACCACAGGAAGAAGAACCTCCAGTACTATGAGATCTCTGCCAAGAGCAACTACAACTTCGAGAAGCCTTTTCTCTACCTTGCAAGGAAGCTCGCAGGGTGGGTACTGTCGTCATTCTGTAGCAAATCTACATTGTACCAGTCCTATACATCTGCCCGGTTTTCTCTTGACTGCAATGCATATGCTATATAGCAACACCAAACGATTATCTGATGCACGAGTGTAAATGCAGGAACACGGACGTCAAGTTCGTCGAAGAGTTAGCCCTCGTCCCTGCCGACGTGACCATCGACGTTGCTGCGCAGCAACAGTAAGTCATTATTATTCAAGCAAACATGTACCTGACGACGACGCTGATCAACCATGCTGCATACATTGTTTATGATAATAACATGAGTGCTTCTCTGATCATGTAATGTTTTTCATGGCATGCAGGATTGACAAAGAGATCGAACTTGCTGCAGCGATTCCCCTGCCGGATGAGGACGATGACAACATGGATTGAGCTCAGCCAGATGCTTTGTCAGGCTGCCTTGGTTTAGTTCTAGCTTATTAGTGTATGGATGGTTTTAATAGTGACACATCTCTTTTGGAATTTCAGTTGTAGCGTCAGTAGTAGGCTAGTAGCTATCGGTTGCTTTAGTGGTTGCTTATGTGTGCCCGTCTCAACTCTCAAGGAGGCATCTTGGTCTTGGTTGAGTTGTGGCTTGCTGCTTGAGGAATCTGATGGAATTCAAATAGGAATGATAAGTTCGTTTATGCTTTATTATTCTTGTGGGCAGCTTGGACTCACGGGTTGGAAGCTACGGTTTCGTGGAGCTAGATAGTGTATCTTCTAGTATTATTTTGTTTTTTTCTGGTGCGGCTCACATTACATATTAAGGCTAGACAGAGGGGCCAATTTATTTAATAGAATTTAATTTAAATGGGAATGGTAAGTTACTAATTTCGTCTAGGCTTCATTCTGGGGCAGGGTGGACTCATGGGTAGCTACGCACGTTCGGCCATAGGAAGGAACTAACATTGTTTTTAACTCTTTCAATGCATGGCATTGAGAGCAAAGTTATGGTGGTGGTAATGCATAATCATGCTTGTAATGGAAAGATTAAGGTGATCATGTAATTAGGGTCGTGACAAATCTATCTATTGACCCTAAAGCACATCATCACATGAGCATGAAAAGTGCAACTCTTAGGGCGACGCTTCTTGTGGCACATCTTTGACAATCAGACCTTCCCATCTTAGCAAACCGTGTACCCTCCGGTTTCATCAAGAGAGACCAATGAACGCTTGCCCAAAGAAAGGATCCCACCAGAGCAAAGTGCATCTTGGGTTGCCCTAACATCGGCGAAACAGGTAGAGCGCCTTCAAACGTTGTCAAGACAAGGTAAGAATATAGGGTTTGGAAGAAATTAGGAAAAGAGGAATGAGATGGAAATACGAAAAGGCAAACAAGATTGAAGTTCGTTTCATTTGTCACTTAGTGCTAGCGCCCAGACGTCTGCCACATGGGGGCCCACGTCCTTCCGAATATCACCCAAGCCTCCTAACCCCACACGGAGACAACTCACGCCCCATTTACTTCCCCGCCTGGACACATACTGTAGCTGGTGGGTCCCAGCAGCAACACCCGAACTATTTTTGAAATATCCAGATGCAACATTAGCAACATACGTCTGAAGACAAATGAAACACTTGAAGTTTGCGTCCGAAACACTTGCAAAAACACCTTAAAACACTTGAAAAAAACATTGAAAGAGATATGCAACATCCAGATAAAACACTTATAATATATGTGCGAAACATATGGAGCATCCAAATAAACACACTTGTAACATACGTTTGAAAAACAGATGAAACATTTGGAACAAACATTTTCAACATACGTGTACAACAATTGTAACATATGAAACATCCCAATCTACTTTTACAACATCTATACGAAACACTTGCTGGAGGGAGGCGAGGTGGGCGCGGAGGTAGCGTGTGAGAGATAAGCCTAGTACTAAAGCACTTGTATCTTACTTTTCCTACACTTTTTACTTTCCTTGGCTTCCAAGCCTAGTGTTATGAATATGCTCAGTATCCACTTTAGTGGTTAGAATATGCGGTAGCAAGTGGGAGCCCCCTTTGCCTATAAAGGGCAAGGGAGTGTCATTGTAAAAATAGGCCATTGCATTTTCTATTCAATCTAAGCGGCCATGAGCCAAGCTGCCCTCTGGTACTTCTAGATCTGAATCTGAGATCCAATCGAGCCAACAATCTAGTATCGAAGCCGAGAGGGTTCTTGAGTGAGTGAGCGCCATGTCCACCGCCAGCCAGGTCGAGAGAGCGCGCACCGCCGCGGGTGCCAGAGCCGACGATCGCGCGATGTGCCTTGCTGCCACAGAGGCTGCGGCTGCGGCGGCAGCCGAGACGACCAAGCAGGCGGCGGCTGCGGCCTAGGCCGCGATAGACACGGCCGCAGCACTGCGCGCCGAGATGGAGCGGGAGCGGGAGCCAGCTGGAGGATCGCATAGCCTGGTCAGGCGCCGCCACCAATCGCCATCACCAGAGCGGCGGCATGGTCGGCGCGACCGCTCCCCGGTGCTACAGACGGTCTATCGTGACTCCGGAGAGGGAACGCCCTGGTCGATGCTCACCAAGTCAATCTATCATGAGTGGAGCCTGCTGATGAAGGTCAAGCTACAGGCCCGGCGGCTGTGGGAGGCGGTTCACGTTGGCGGCGTCGACTATGACGACGATCGACGGGCGCTGGAGGCGTTGTGCACCACCGTCCCCATCGGGCTCGGTGCCTCCCTCGCAAACAAGGCTACGGCAAAGCTGGCGTGGGAATCGATTGCCATGGCACGCATCGGTGGAGATCGTGTGCACCGGACGACATTGCAGCGCCTCCAAGGAGAGTGGGAAGGCCTCATCTTTAAGCCTGGTGAGCAAGTCTAGGACTTTGCCCTTTGTCTTACCAATCTGATGGAGCAGATGGCGCGCAACGGCGACACCGACCTCACGGAGGGGCGCGCGGTGGAGAAATTCCTTCGCTACATGCCGAGGAAGTACGCACAGATCGTCATGTCGATCGAGACACTCCTCAACTTCGAGAAGCTCATCGTCGAGGATGTGACCGGGAGGCTCAAGGCGGTGCAGGACCACGAGGAGGGGCCTCACACCGAGCCAAGCACCACCGGAGGCAAGCTGTTGTACACAATGGAGTAGTGGTGCGCCTTCGACAAGAAGGAGGAAGGATCCAGTTTGTCTGGCTCCAAGCTAAGGAGCGTCACTGGTGTCCATGTGGCGGCAAGAAGGAGGAGAAGGGACCCTGGGCCTAGGTCGGCGCTGATGGCAACGTCGCCGGTGAGCGCAAGGTGGCCCGGGATGACACCTGCAACAACTATGGCAGGACTGGCCACTGGGCAAAGGACTGCCGCCTTCCTCCACCCCACGGTGGCAAGCTCACGTCGCGTAAGAAGAAGAGCAGGATGCTACCCTATTCCTGGCGCACGGGTGCGTCGAGCTACAGCAAGACACATGGGAGGGGGTGAAAGGTCCAAGCTTTCCCCTTTCTGGGTCGGCTAGCTCCGCCGAGCTCCAGGTCGATGAACCACGCGCCCACACCTTCCTCGGCAAAGGTGCCACCGATGACAAGATTGACGGCCGGTACCTCGACACCGGTGCGACGCACCACATGACTGGTCGGCGCGAGTTCTTCTTCGACCTAGACTCCGGCGTGAAGGGCTCCGTCAAGTTCGGTGACACCTCCACCATCGAGATCAAGGGCGTTAGCTCGGTCATCTTCATGGCCAAGACGAGGGAGTACCATCTTATCACCGGGGTGTACTACATCCCGACCTTGAAGAACTCCATCATCAGCATTGGGCAGCTGGACGAGAACGGCTCATGGGTGGAGATTGAGGACAGCGTGCTACGCATCTGGGATAGAGGCCACCGTCTTCTCGCCAAGGTGAACCGGGGAAGCAATCGCCTTTATGTGCTCCATGTATAGGTGGCGCACCCCCTCTGCCTTGCCACGCACCGGGATGATGAGGCATGGTGCTGGCACGAGCGCTTCAAGCACCTTCACTTCGAAGCCCTATGCAGCTTGGCAAGAAAGAAATGGTCTGTGGCATGCCCTGTGTCGACCACATCGAGTAGCTCTGCGACACCTGTGTGGTGACCAAGCTGAAGCGCTGGCCCTTCCTGTGTCAAGCCTCCTACCACGCCACTGAGCAGCTCGAGCTGGTGCACGGTAACCTCTACGGTCTAGTGTCACCGGCCACTCTTGGAGGTCGGCACTACTTCCTACTGCTCGTCAACGACGCCACCCATGAACAGATCAGTCATAATGTAGAAGCCTACGTGGATGATGTCATAGTCAAGACCAAGGACCCTTCTACTCTGATCGCAGACTTGAAGCAAACCTTTGATAGTCTTTGTGAGTACAAGTGAAAGCTTAACCCAACAAAGTGTGTGTTTGGAGTTCCTTCAGGATAGCTATTGGGTTTCCTCGTGAGCCATCAGGGTATCAAAGATAGCATGAAAGAGATTCAAGTAATCACTCAGATTACTCGACCTCACTGCGTCAAAGATGTTCAGAAACTGATAGGGTGCATGGCTGCCCACAATCATTTCATCTCGCGACTCAGGGAGAAAGGTTTTCCCTTCTTCAAGTTGTTGAAAAAGTTAGGCAAGTTTGAGTGGACAGTTGAAGCTGACAAAGCCTTCTAGAAGCTCAAAGAGTACCTGTCCACCTCTCCAATACTTACTCCACCTGAGAAGCATGAACCACTCCTACTCTACATTGCAGCTACTACTATGGTAGTCAGCACGGCAATAGTCATGGAGCGGGCTGAAGAAGGGCACGTATATAAGGTACAACGACCTATCTATTATATTAGAGAGGTGCTATCAGAATCCAAGGCCAAGTACCCACATGTGCAAAAGCTCCTCTATGCCCTCTTGATCACTTCATGCAAGCTATGCCACTACTTTGACGAACACAAGGTAACAGTGGTATCCGACTTCCCACTTGGCGACGTCCTACACAATCGGGATGCAACAGGACGCATATCAAAGTGGTCAGTCAAACTCGGAGCTCAGAACATCGAGTTCATCTCCTGCAAGGCTATCCAATCTTAAGTCTTGGTTGATTTCATAGCTGAGTGGACCGAAGCCTAGCAGCCTACTCTGATAGTTATCCTCGACCATTGGAATATGTATTTCGATGGTTCCCTCAAGTTAGGAGGAGCAGACGCTGGCATTCTCTTCATATCTCTAGATGGAAAGCAGATTAAATATGTTCTACAAATACCTTGGCCTGCTACCAACAATGAAGCTGAGTACGAGGCCCTCCTTTAGGGCCTCCGAGTAGCAGTCTCACTAGGCATCAAGCGTTTGCTCATCTATGATGACTCCTCGGTGGTCATCAACTAGGTCAACAAGGATTGGGACTGCACCAAGGAGACCATAGACGTTCACTACGTAGAAGTCCGCAAACTTGAGAAACAATTC